TGTGCGTGTGTGTATGTATGTATGTATGCGCGTGTGTGCGTGTGCATGTGCGTGCAGTGTGTGCGTGTATTTGTGTGCGCGCCCGTGTGTGTAAATTGGTATGTGTGTGCGTGGGTGCGCGTGTGATTGTGCGTGCGTGCGCGCGTGTGTGATGTGTGTGTGTGCGCGCGTGTGTGCAAATATTTGACAACGGGAGGTGTAACCCTGCCCGCCGCCGTCCACTGACTTTCAAGAAAATATATCTTCAAAACTACTCTCAATGCATTTTGCTTTTTTTAACGAATTTGATTTATTATTGATGCTTCTAACCAGAATGATATTTTCAAAAATATCGAAATTGGTGAAATTGTACTATGAAATCACCCCATTTCCCTTTTTTTGAAAAATTGCATATCATTTTAAGGTAAAATTTCAGATTTTATATATATTTAGATACAATTTTTTTTAACAAATATTGGTATATGACTCGAGTCTAAATATCAGTATTTTTCGTTTACTGTAAATACATCCTCAAATAAAATTGAGAGATAAATGGTTAAACCGCCATCCTCAAGTCAGACCCCACTCGAACCCGTCTGGAGGACGGGTAATAGCTAGTATATATATATATATATGCGAGTCCCCAGTTTTGGTGGAGGTGGCTTAATATCTCTATACGGTATCACTCAGTGCTCTCACTTGGACCTATGTAAAATTCCTCGACTGCTTTGCTAAAACTCCTATAAATGATAATCATATTTATCCAATAATGCAGTATAATCACTATTATTAGGCCTATATTTATAACTAGTTATTGTTATTATTTTTTATTATGTCTGAGGTTGTAAAAAGCACCAGCTATCAGTATTTGTATGAGTTAATAAGGCTCGAGTTGGAGTTGGTGGTGCCTTGATTAGTGGGGGAACATATATAGTGAGGAACGCCAAACTGTCGCTATAATTCTGATTAAATTTTTTAAAACTATCACTTCATTTCATATTTGGGCAGGTAGCTTCATAATATAACGGGTGTATATCTGTGTAACCTGTTATTATTTCTATTTTTTGAATAGACAAATAAATTATTCTGCTGGTCATTTCTGTTTATTCTTTTTCTAATATTTACATGTTCTCAAAGCTATCCTTAGGTTTCATTAAAAATTCAATTTCTTAGAAAGAATTCCCTGAGTAGGGTCAAATTTTTCTCAGTTTCTCTAGTAGTGAGAGTGCCAGTGCTATTGCTGGAGCGTAGAAATATGTAGAGACTATAGATCTAGTCTAGCTAGTATATTCCTGTTATTCATGTAGACTGGAGCAGTACGATTCGACGATGACGATAGGAATATATTCAAGTCTGCCTGCAGCTTACGGCGTATGCACGATGAATACATACGTGGGTATATTTTGAAATACGTGTTATTAATCTACCCATCAACAATATGTAGTTTTTTTATTTAGCATATAATGCGTTTCTTAAATCTGAAGTATCAATGCAATGTTTTTCAAGATGAAACTTGCAAAATTTTATGAATAATACGAACTAGTTTTCTTGCGCGAATTCACTTATCTCGGCTGTGGTGAGGTTCGCATCAGCTCCGGAAAAAGAAATCGCCATCTTGGTTTGTTTATGTTGAAGAGAATTTGAGAAACTACATAGGCACATAAGAATAAGGGCTGAGAACGGAATTACACCTGCGAAGTAAGTACCTAATCGTGACATTAAGGGTTACCTCTCATTTTAAGTTGATTTGTTCAGTCTGCATGTGTCATCAGTATTCAGTAAGTGTAAGTGTAAGTATCACCAGGAACTTAGCGGTACAAGTAGCGTTTACACACCCATGTCGTAAGTTTGGTTAGGGTTAGGGTTATGTTTAGGGTTAGGGTTTTTAAACCTGGGGTTGTAAAATAGGAATGGGCCAACTTAGCTATGTCTATGACTCGAGTATGACATTACTCATTAGCCACAGGCACAAGTTCCCTTCTCGCTCGCGTTAACACTACGTTAGCGTACCGTGTAACAGTCGGAGAGCCTGGTCGGTTTACTATGACATACGCTATTACTCACATAGCCTACTAGTACTACTCGACGAGGATTGCAGTGTGACTTGCACAGGTAAATCCCAATAGAACAGGGATATTGAAAATGATCTGTAAACTGTTTCAACTTTTCAAAGTAATGCCTAATGGTTAATACTATTATTACTAATGCAGATGGGGTCGTTGTCGTATCAGGTACGACAATGACCCCTTGAGCATTACGGCCCAAGGATAGAGAACATGGGTCCCAATAAAACCAATGTGCCTAAACCTAACCCTAATTCTAACCCTAACTCTAACCCTAACCCTAACCATAACCCTAACCTATTATATTGATGTAATATTATATGTAATGTTCTCTATCTTTGAACCAGCATGGCTAATACTAATAGTAATACTGTAATACTAATACTAATAAAGCATTAAACTTTAAAGGTAGATTTGCAAAAGACCCAACGCAGGTCCGAACCATTCCGTCTACATCTGATGATCTGTACCATCATACTTTCATAGTAGTATTAGTACTATAGTACATGGTTTTTTATTTCAATATTTGTAACCTTTTCTGTTTTAACAGAGGTTAGCTCTAATACTATAGCCCGCGTACAGTTGCCGCAGGCCTAAACAGAGGTCTGACGGAAGTCTTATCAGTAGAAATACCAACATGTCTTCATAGTAATAATATACACTACTAGTACATACACATTTTTTCTGTTATAATCCATAACAACTCGTGATGAAAATGTACACTATTGCCAAATACGTGAAAACATTGCCAGGCTGTAATTGGACAAGGTACAACAAGATCTTTACCCTTGCATTGCTTAGATAGAATTTGATTCTTCCAGTGCTCCTAATTAAGTTAATTATGGTTTGGTCACACCCAGTGAAAAAAATACACGGGGGCTCGGGGCGATTTAGCCCCGGAAATGGCAAAAAGAGCCTCCGGAAATTTGCATAGAGTTCAATGCAAACCAAATTTTAGAGTGCTATTTTCATGCACGCGAGCTTGAAAAGTAGCCCCCGAAAAATAAAATTTTTCCCTGGTGACACCCCAAGGGTTCTCTAAGCTTTCTCATTATAGCATGGCGGGTGCTGCCTTTACGCCAGTTTACGGTCCTAGTTGCATATCGCCGAAGGCGGTTTGCGTGCTAGGGTGGTCCGGGAGGCTATGATATTTAGCATGGCGGGTGCATTTTAGGATGGCGGGGCTCGACGATAGCCTGGCGGGCCGCCAGGCTATAAGTGCTCTTGGAGAATCCCGCACCCATGCACATAACACAGAAATATGCTTGTGCATGTACCACAAACTGATATTTAAAACTTATTGCTTGAGATAAGTTACATAATTTATTTGAACTGATGTGTCATTTATGAATCTTTGAGGGTTTTTACTTAGCTCATTATATACATACATGTGCATATATGATATGCTGTAGAAAATAGTTGAGCTTTACAAATTTTTGTTTACCCTTGGCTTGTTCCATGTACATATATAGTAATTGCAACTTTTGGGTCTATTGGACAAACCAATAAGTAGCTTGAAGCTGAGCTGAGATCAGCTATTCCCACATGGGACCCAGATGGTGGCCAAACTGGCAAATTGGTACAGAACTCAGAAGGTGCATATAAGCAGCTTATAGCTGATATTGTGCACTGTGAATACACATTTATAAACGTGAATGTAAACCACGTTTATGTGTGTACGTGTGCATGTGTGGGTACTCAAGACGCCTTTTTTGTGACATATGAGTGTACAGCTGTGATCAGATAGCGAGTGAGCAGTGCAAACTTCTGGCATTTATGAGTAAGAGTACAGTTCATGTCAGTTATATATCACAACAAGATTATTTACACTTGACTTGAGAATTATTGATGAATCAGTGCATGTGGGCGTGGATCCGCAGCACCTTGCCCCCGTAACAATCTAGTAGTACTTCTCCTCCATGTGTGTGTGTTGCGTAGATGTTTGGATCTGGGTTTATGTGTTGAATGATGTAATAGATACAGTTAAGGTGTGAATGTCATGTTTTAGGTATGAAGTCAGGGTAAAAAATCCTTTTTTTTCACTAGAGCCATTTTTCTGACTTGTCACAAATTTACCAGAGCCATTTTTTATGTATCCAGCGCCATTTTCATAGTTTCAAATTTTCGAAAAATACGTAATATAATGTACTCTTATTTTATTTGTGGGGATGGGGACATCAATTGATGTAAATTGTATGTATTATTAATTCCATGAGTATGTAAAATTTTCTGTTAATACATGTACCTATAATTATATTTACATTACTACATATCACCAAGAGTGTATAAAGAAGGACCCTTCTTTATAGACTCTTGATATCACTAATCACACTTATAACTCATGATCCAAACATCTTTTGAAATTGAATCCATTCGCATTCACGCATCCATTTTCGCATCCATTTCCATTCCGCCTCCGAGGCTCCGACACCTCTGACCTCTCCAATCTAGGAGAAGACGTTTTTGCTTTAGACGGCACGCTGGTGGCATGTAATACATGAAAAAATGCGTATCCGCGTCGCCCGCGCGCACGCTACGGGTCAAATGTTGAAACGTTTGCCGCCTCGCGGTCGATAACGTATAATGAAGTTATGAGTACCTGAGAATATTTTCTACTGATAATACCGGTACGTTTGGGAATCTTGTCTTACCCAAGAAACTGCTGTGCAGCATTGCCAAATGGAGCATAAAGTACTGAAAGCACTTGTCAGCCAGCAAGGCCTGGCACAGAGAGAATGCATACAGCATTATTTACCTGGCTCCAAACCAGTTCTGTTCAGCCTGAAATGGTAGCTGGTGTGTGAATAGGGGGAATTCCTGCTGTTTCAGCAATGCATATAAGGAGGGTTGAATGCACAATAGTTATTTTAGGCAATGTGACAGTTCTATTTCAAAGGTCATCGTTTATGGATCCTGGTCAAACATCTAGTTGCAGCTGGTAGATATGTTATGGAGACTACTGTGTGATTACATGATTAATGTGTTTGGAATTTTGGTGTGTAATTTTGACATATTATCATGTTTCAATGTCTCAAGGTGCAGGGTTCAAATTTCAGGATGTGTAATTCTTTTTGTTTTCCTTTGGGTTTACTGTGTTCAAGACAGTGGTTTGCTGTAGTTAATATTTTATGTAGTTTAAACCAATTTTGTTCAATCACATGACATTTTTTGACATGGTTATTGTAAAGTAGTTATACATGGATTTATGTGCTATAGTTATATCAATTTTAGTAATTGGTCTTAAATGCCTTCTTCTGAATGATGAATTCACATTCAATTATTTTCTTTTTAGTTCTTCGATTCTATTGTCTTCTGTTCTGTGTACAGATAGCTGAGTAGTCCCTATATATATATAGCTATGTTGTTATGTTGGAAATTGTAACCCATGATGGTTCCCTTGCGTTGTTGCAGGAGCTACATGTAGCAACAGCACAGAGAAACTGTTGCTTCGCTCGGTACTGCCCTTTGCTGCCTCGATAGTAACAGCACAGTCATGAGTCAACAAGGCTACCAACACCAGCAGTATCAACGAGGACCAGCAAGTAAGTGTTTCTCTCTTACAATAATTTCATCTTGTGTTGGAATTTTTTTCCCAGTAATTGTTTCCATTAATTGACTTTTGCACAGCATTGGGATCAGTAGCCAACTATATGTGGGTACTCAAAAGCAAGGAAGATGATGGTTTTTAAAGATTGATTTTATTTTAAGTAGTGGCTCTATAGACCACTTTCCACTAAAACGTGAAATTGTTATATATATATGTGACTTCTGAATGTTATACGGGTGTTGTAGTTCCTTCCTTGATCAGCACTGCTGATTGAGCAGTGGCATTATTTATACATATTACCAGGAGGAAGCGTGTTTGAGGTCACCGGTCTATTGAAAACTGTTTTGTGTTTGCTGATTGAAATACTGCTGTACTAGATTTATGTAATGGACAGTAGTACAAAGTCTATTCCGTTTGCTCAAACATCACTGACAGCCATTCATCCAGCACTTGATTGTACCTAGATTTTAATCGACTATTAGCAGATCAATGGGTGCTATATGAAATTACATTGCCTTGAGCAGGAAAAAGTCTTGTTTGATGTGTGTATATAGTTGCTGACTCAGCTTTACTATCGTATTCTCCTTGCACAGTGGCGCAGCAGCAGGGAGGCCAATACATGGAGGTTCAGGGAGGTCAGCCGATGCAGATGCACGACAGCAACACCAAAACTATGATGTGGGCCCAGAACCATTATGTGGCTGATTCGGGCATCAATTCCCGAACCCCATCACAGGTATACAAGCGAGCGGCGACGCGACTAATTCTGCCTAGAAATTTATGGATTTTGAAATAGTATTTCCATAACTTAATCAACAGTTCTTTGTCAGTGTGAATTTAACATTTATAGTGCATTTAAAGTGTTTGTGTAAAGAGGCTGTGTTGATTGATGCATACATACATATATATACATACATACATATACGAATTTCCCTTGTTTATTGAAGTCACACTCCTTCTCTATTATCTACTCCTGATATATATATATATTTATATATATCAGGAATAGATAATAGGGAAGGAGTGTGACTTCAATAAACAAGGGAATTTGTCATTTACTAGCCTTTAAATACCTAAGATTTACTATGCGTAACTCAACCAACTTGAGCTCAAATCGTACACAGTACATTCGCCTAGCATCGTGCTTCCTCGTATACACCCGCAATCCGTATGACACGATTATCCATTCTGTTGTCATCAATCCGAACGTATCGTCTGCCTGACTTGAAACAAAAGGCAGCTACTAACGCTCTGCGATGCGGTGTGGCTCGCTGGGACATTGGACATCGACATAACACTCGGCGAGATAACCTTTGACCCGGCATACAGCTACATACCGGCATACCGCTGGTATGCCCCCACGCACGCACGGCCACCGCAATCAGCAGCAGCCCCTGCTCCAATCTCCCAGCGAGCCGCATCGCCGAGCGTTAGTAGCTGCCTTTTGTTTCAAGTCAGGCGGACAATACGTTTGGATTGATGGCAACAGAATGGATAATCGGGTCGTATGTTTTAGTCTGTATCTCCGGATCGCGGGTGTATACGAGGAAACAATTTCGCACGATGCTAGGCGAATGTACTGTGTACGATTTGAGCTCAAGTTGGTTGAGTTACGCGTAGTAAATCGTAGGTATTCTAAGGCTAGTAAATGACAAATTCCCCTTGTTATTGAAGTAACAATCCTTCCCTATTATCTACTCCTGATATATATATACAAATTTATACAATCGAGCACTTGGTCATCTTGCAGGCATTTTATTGTGTAAATTTTACAAATTTACTGCAATTATGATTAGCTTGACAATGTCTGTTTGTGTGTTCAGGCACCATCTATCAGTTCAAAGACCCACCATAGTCAACATGAGGATGAAATGAACATGGATGCATCCTCAGGTATGGGATATGAGGAGTGGGATCAAGGATACCAACCCCAGGGCTACACCCAGGAGCAGGTGGATGGTAAGTCTATGCTAACTTATGCAGTTGTAATGTCATAATTTTCCGCTTTTATTTAACTCAGTGATGTATATAAAGCATTTCACCAAGACTGGCAAATTTTATTGTTAAATGCATGTACACCCATAATACGTAAGTAATGATTAATGTCTATCATCAGAAAACAAGATTACTTAAAATAGCTGTAGTATTTCTCTTGAAAGTGCAATCGTATCCATGGGTAGTTCTTGGTACATGTGTGGCAATACATATCATAACCCCTTCCCCCCTTGGCATTACTTGCCAGTGCTTTACCCTTCATCCTCTTGTTTGTATATCTCTCTCAGAACTGAATCAGCAGCTGAACCAGACGCGGTCGCAGCGAGTGAGAAATGCCATGTTTCCTGAAACGATGGATGAAGGAGTTCCGATCCCGTCGACGCAGTTCGATCCGCAGCAACCTACCGCTGTGCAGAGACTGGCCGAGCCAAGTCAGATGCTGAAGCATGCTGTCGTCAATCTCATCAACTATCAGGCAAGCGTACTTTTCAGTGACATCGCAGGCGTAACAGACAACACTGGAATAAGCGAAACAAATTAGACCCTTGTTATTGGTAGACTTGTGCGGGGAATAATGATTAGATACGTTAAGCACGCTAAAGTATCTCGTAGATTTGGGTTTGTGTTATGGTGTGTGTGGAGATGAGGTGACGGTGTGTGTGGAGAGATGAGGTGACGGTGTGTGTGTGGAGAGATGAGGTGACGGTGTGTGTGTGGAGAGATGAGGTGACGGTGTGTGTGGAGAGATGTATCGTGACGGTGTGTGTGGAGATGATGAGGTGACGGTGTGTGTGGTGGGAGATGAGGTGACGTGGTGTGTGGAGAGATGATGAACGGCGTGTGTGTGTGGAGAGATGAGGTGACAGTGTGTGTGGAGAGAATGAGGGACGGTGGTGTGACGATGAGGTGACGGTGTGTGTGTCAGATGAGGTGACGGTGTGTGTGGAGAGATGAGGTGAAGGTCGTGTTGTCGAGCGATGAGGTGACGGTGGTTGTGAAGATGAGAGTGAACGGTGGTGTGGCGAGATGGGTGACGGGTCTGTGAGAGTCT